CCTTCACACAAGTTGAAAATTAACAGCACTTACAACACTGGTCAGTCGTATGCACTCGAACGCATTCGTGCATTTGCAATTGAGTTTTCATGATCTAATCATTAAATAGCATGAGCTCTCTGCATTCTGTTAAATTAATTGCTACGCTTCCCGTTCTAGCTTAAAAAATCAAATTACGGCTCAGCTCTGTGCACCCCCCAAACACTCTCACACAGTCATGTACACAAGCACAAGCACATACACACACACACACACACACACACACACATGCACACATGGCTGTGCTAGAAGCTCTTCAGCTGTTGAACTCTTCATCTGCATTGCTCAGTCATGTATGCGCTTAGCAACTGATTTGAGCTGGGCGGATCCCTGAGGGTGGCAGCTGATAGGATAGATAACAGAGAGGGCAGGTGGAACAGGTGGGCGGAAATAACGAGAAGGACTACGAGTGGCTCGTCTATTTGTTTTAATCAGTGTAGTCGACCAGTGAGCTAATCGTTTATGATTTAGTTTTTGATTTGCTTAGTCAAGAACTGTCCATAAATCAGATATGTAGACGCTGAAGGTATTCGAGGAGTGCGGGGGGCGCAGGTGGAAAAGCTGTAACTGCTAAACTCGACAAACGCTGAACTTTCTATTTTTATGGCAGCAGTAGCAGTAGCAGTGGCAGTAGCAGTAGCTGTGGCAGTTGCAGCAACCGCCGAGCCACAGAGGCGGCCGCTGTGTGTTTTCGACTATAAAATTAAATTGCGATGTGGTAGAAAGTTAGCAAATGCCCAGTACAGCGGCAGCAACAACAAACTATTGCTTACTGCCCCACATTACACATTTGGCCAAGCACACACAGACACACCAACACACACTCGTACACACTTGGTAACTGCAGCTGGGAACAATTGTTCAGCGCATATCATTTGGTTAAAAGGATTCGTTTTACTCGACGCCGCCAACGTTGGTTTGTTATATGCGAAAACCATTGGACCACTCTATGTGAGTGTATGCGAGTGAGTGTGTGTGTGTGTGAATTGGTATTGGTGTGTGTGTGTGTGTGTTTAGTGGAGTGTATGTATGCACGTACAAATCAACTAATCTACTCCCCACGGCAAAGTTACGAGAAGACCGACAATTATATCCGCTCTCTGCTCACAATTTTTGCATGTCGTAAAGTTTCTAGTGGCGCACAGACCCCAAGCTTTGACCCTCCCCTCCTCATTCCCTTTCACCACTATTCACACTACCTGCCCTCCTCCTCTGTAGCCAGTAGTTGCGCAGACGTTGCACCAACTGAGCAGCAGCTTCGAGCACACTGCGATTTTGGCTATATGATTATAGTTGACTGGGGTATTATTACTTTCCTGTCCTGTCTATAAAGATTATCCATAAATTCTGATAAATCCCAAATAAAAATACAATCATTTCGTTCATATTTTTAACACATATATTGTTTTTTTTTTTTTTTTTTTTTGAAATTTTTTTAGTTTGATATTTTATAAATATCAAACTTAAGATCTTAAGTTAATTCTTATAACTGCCCGTATAAACTGGAAGAGCTCATGCATTTTGTAAATTTATAAATTTGTATAGTATTTTCTTGCATCTTATATGCCTAGAAATTTCTAATAAGTTGGTAACCAAAGAAGACTCGCCAGTTTTTTATATTCGAATATCCCCCACCACTTTGTAACTGCATATTGGAAAGTTTAATATTAAACAAATTAAATTTGATTTTTATTTCTAGTTAATTATTCTTATATTCCATTAAAATATTTTATGTAAATGTATGCCCCAGTCTCTTAAAGCCACAAATTGGAAAATTTAATAATTATTAAAATATAATCGAAGAGCATTTCAAATTCGTTGTTCACCCTGCTCTTGCTGTATATTTTTCGAAGCACTGCGATTTTACAATTTGTATATGGTAGATTGGTGTGTGCGTTGGTATGTGTGTGTGTGTGTGTGTGTGTGTCTGTTGTGCCGAGTGTGAATCTGCCTGGCATTACTGTTTGTATTGCCAAAGTCGTTGTAACTTCGTTAAAATGAGCACTTTGTTAGTTTTGCCCGCCGGCTCGATGGGCTGGTCTCCGTCCGTTCAGCCAGGGCTCCCCTCCGCCTCCTGCCTGGCCGTGCCGCCAGTCCTTGCCCCCGAGTCCACTTCTGGACAGTGGCAATGCAGCAGATTTGTCGGCGGTTTCTGCCATTACTGCCACATACCTAGCTGCAGACCTTTTTGCTGCTGTTGTTGCTGCTGCTGCTGCTGTTGCTGCCACTGCTGATAGTTGGCATCTGCATTAGTAATGGTGAATGGCGGTGAACGGTGGCGAGTTCTGCGCAAATTGGGTGGATTTGGATTTGAGTGTAGCTGTGACAGGCGTTGCAAGTGCAGCATAGACTAGCTCAGACCCAACACTAGCCACGCCTACAGCCCACAGGCAGCTGTCATGTGTGTCGTGTCTGTGCGAATGTGAACGTAAACTTAGCGTTTAAGTTTTTTGCCCGACTCGGACGTGTTGCAGCTCCTTTGTGGCCATTAAACTGCAGCAGTTTGCTGCCCGAGAATTCCTTTGTCTTCGCTTTCGATTTCGCTCGCCTTGAGCCGTTGGCTAAACAATGCCGCGTTCCATTACATGGCAGCAACTGGCCCAGTAGCTGCTCCCAGGCAACTCCTCCCGTACCGACAACTTGTACTTAGCGGCGTTTCCTTCCGCTCAACACGACCAACAGCCAACGGAAAATGGCGAACGGCGAACGGCAAACGGCTCGTTGGCAGCGCTGTCTGAAATGCAATTAAGTCGCATCGACATGCAATCTCCGGCACGGGGAAAGGGGCAAGCACATACGACTACACAACATGCAGCACCATTCGGCACCACCAGGCGACTCGAGCAGCTCGAGCAACAGTACCTAGTGGCATTTCCATAGCCGCAGGCACTGGGAAAGCCCCAAAAGCGATGAAAGGTTTGAGTTAGCCTGCATATACGGGATGCACTGCTAGAAATCAACTGCAAGTTTGCTATGTAAAATTTAAAAAAGGAGTTTATCAAATATACCACGATCAAAATTATCAAATAATAAAAGAGCAGATATCCCTATTTATGTGGGAACTTTGACGTTCAGATTTCAATATAACATCAATTTTAACAAAACACATTTATAACACTTATAAAATGTAACTAAAAAAAAGCAAGCTTAGCTTAGCCAAACTTAAAATATTTAATGATTAATCATCGTTTTAACAAATTGTTTTCAAATTTTGAATTTTGAAACAGTACAAAAATTCCTTTATTGTTATAAAAAAGTTTCAATTGTAGTTTGACTTTCACAAGCGAATACTTAGTTAATGTTCATATTCTCTCAAAAATATTATATTACTAAACTAAATGCGGCTATGCAAAACCTGCTGATAAAATGTGAAATTTAACACTGGGGTCAAACTAACAGAATTAAATGGCGATATGCAAAGCGGAGAAAGAAATGGGCGCACAGAAAGTTAAACAAGTCTTGCTTGGAGTTATGAGTTATGAGGCATCAATACAAATTTGACTGAGCGCGAGTCAAAGGTAGATAAAGCACAAGCAACTACACATATGTATAAATAGATAATGCACAGGCAAAAACACACATACTAATGCATGCGGGGAGAGAGTCGTCAAATATAACTATTTATATGTATGCCTGCTTGTGAATTATCTACTTATCCATTGCGCTCACACGATTTTATCATTCCAGACATAACATTCTATAATTTCTGTGCGCCCATTTGTTGTCCTCTGCTTTTTAAGTTTAACCCCTGTGGTAAATCGCACATTTCAGCAGGCCTACAAGTCACAATTTGACCAGCCACAATTTTTAATCTGCTGGGTGTTTGAGAATATGATCCCAGCTTAATGCGCAGCATTGCAAGAAGAAATTGCTTTTTGAAATGTAGGCTAGAAAGACGTTAATTTAAATGTATATTATTTCAATTTGTTTCATTTCAACAAAAGTCTGCAGTCCGATGCGTTTAAAAAAGGTACATATATCATTCCTAAATCGGACCTTCTTAATCAGCAATTAACAGCTTACGGCTGTGCAGAATGGGAGCCCTGCTTAAATGTGCTATTTATCACTGGGGTCAAACTTAAACAGATTAAACTGCGAGTGCGCAAAGCAGACAACAATTTGGGCGAACAGAAAATTGAGTAAGGTGTTTTTTTTTTGCGCTTCGAGTGAGAAGCATCAATAAAAATGCGATTGAGCGCGAGTCAAGAGTAGATAACGCACAGGCAACTACATATGCATGAATGGAGAATGCGCACACAAACACATATGCAATACAAATTCAAGGGGAATCGCCAATTATAAATATATTTGGATATATATATGTATGTCTGTTTGTGCATTATCAACTTCTGCTTTGCGCACACGCAACTGAACTCTTTTTAGGTTTAACCCCAGTGATAAATTTCACGCAATCGCAACTGAAATCTGTTTTGGTGGTAACCCCAATGATAAATTTGACAATTAAGCAGGGCTCGCATGCCGTGTAGCCGCAAGCTCTTAATAATTGGGTTAGTAATACTTTAAAAACCCATGGCGAACTATTGAATCATTGTGTGATCATGTCTTAATCTAGCTAACCAAACAACATGTAGACTGCAATTTAGCACTGGGGTCAAACAAATAGAGAATTAAGCTGCGAGTGCGCAGAGCAGGCGAAACAATTGGCGCACAGAAATTAGAGCAAGTCGTGTCAGGAGCGATAAGCAACAAAAATTCCACTGAGCGCCAAGCATAGGTAGATAATGCACAAGCAGACATACATACACACACACATACATACATATATATTTGGCGACTCTCTCCCCGCATGCACCTGTTTGTGCGTGTGTTCGCTTCTGCATTATCTATGCACGCATTTGTGTAGTTGCTTGTGCATTATCTGTCTTTCTCTCGCGCTCTTTTGAATTTTTATTGATGCTCCGCATCTCTTTTTTCTGTATTTTCTGTGTGCCAATTTTAGTATGAGTTTATTTTCAGTGGTCCATTGGAGCAGACGCATGGTGTGATTCGTTTTCATTTTAATCATGTTTAAAAGTGCAATTTTATTCTAATTGTGTCAAATTTAACTACTAAAAGTTGAGTGCACGCCCGCACTAGTCAAAATAAATATATGGAAGGAGTTAAAATAGCTAAATTAAGCCCAACCTTGGAAATATTTAGCTTTACCGATATGTAAGTCCACACTTGGCTCCAAGACTTACAGATTACAAGTACATTTATACACAGTGTGCGTGTGTGTGTGTGTGTGTGGGTGTGTGTGTGTGTAACTACATTACCGCCGCGTCTCTTAGCCCCCGCTCTCAACTGAAGCACTTTAGGGTATCTGGCACTTTTACTTTTATTTTAGCCAGGATATCAGAGCCAAGCCAAGTGCATCTAGTGCACAAGTAGAGCACTCGTCAGAGCTCTTCAGCGTGCCGATAATCCAATTATGGCTATGGCCTGCCAGCATGGCCAAGGGTCTGACCGTTGTGTGGTGAGGGGCGTGAACAGGGGCAGGGGCGCTGTGTGGCGTGCGCGCGTCTCTCACATAATTTTAGCCAGTTTATTTGCCTGTTGGCTTTGCGGGCTGTGCTCGCGTTATTATCAAGTTACATTGGCCAAAACACTAAAATGTGTGCATAAAAGGGTCGCAACCTGAACCCAAGCAGCTGCCAAGGAGTCGACTAGCTGCCTTCGACTAGGGGAAGGCTAATGTCTGCGGCTTGCCGCAGTCGCAGTCTTTAATCAGTGGGGGCGTGGCTCTCGCTCTCTGTGTGTGTGTGTGTGTGTGCGTGTGTGCGGTATACCCATTTGCTCCGTTTAGCGAATTGTGTTTGTTATTTAAAACACGTAAGCGCTCAGCTAAACGAAGGTATTTGGGATTTTCGGTTGAACCGAAGGGTTCTACTTACAAAAAGGGTGGGGAGGGGTGGGAGGGCGTCAGCTCTATCAAATCCATTTTAATTAAAATACCTTTGTTGCCGTTTTCCATTATCGAAACACACAGTATTAATATTTCTAGCATTTTTATTTATTTTTTATTCAATTTCATTTGTATTGATATGGTTTTTGTTTTTCATTTTTTTTTTGCCATTTTCTTCATTTTTTTTTTTTTTGTAATTTCCACTACTTTAATTTTGCTTTTGCTGTTGGGCATAATAGGAATGATAGAAACAAAACAAAAATAGAACACAATGCAATGCCATATGTGTTATATACGCTGCCTCTATATATTCATGTATTTACAATATGATATTTTAATAATAAAAATGTTTTCACAAAAATTGCAAAAACCCAAAAAGAATACGCTTGCTTAAAGGAATAAAAACAGTTATTTCATGACCAGCAGCAGTCGAACCCTTCATTCCGCACCACAAAATCGCGTGGGTCTGCGTTTCGGTTATTTTAATTAATTTATTCATTTGTTCTCTCAGTGAATAGTTTATTTAGTTCTTTTTGTTTAATATTATTATTATACTTGTGCATTTGCATCATCGTCGTGTAAACAACTACAATTAGTATCACGATTGTCATTGTTGTAACGAAAAAACACAACAAAAAGGTGATTTTATTTTGAAAAACAATTTACAAAAAAGAGTAGCAAAACAAAAAAAAAGTGGTTGGAAAATTGTGTTTGATAATTTATGCCATTTAATTGGTATTCATATTGTTGTCGCGTATGTGTGTGTGTGTGTGTGTGTGTGTGTGTGTGTGTGTGTGCACTTTGTAAATGTTTACGCTTTTCATTAGGTTTTATTAAATTTCTTTTGCCAAAACTGATATGTACTTATATGTGTGTTAAAAATTGACTGCCGCCAAAGTTCGTAAACCCATCCCTAGTAATCCTCGTATTTTTTATTTTTTTTTGTTTTTTTTTTAATTTATATTTTTAAGTGATAAGTGTGCAATGTGGCGCTTTTTTTCTACGTTCATTAAAAAACCATTGTAATTGCTATCCAATTGATCGTTCATATTCGTATCTTTAAATATTCATATAATTAGTTATATATTTTTAAATTATTTAATATAGATTTATTTATTCATAATTTACTTATTGGCCTTGTTGCTAAGTTGTATTCCATACTTGTATCTAGAATCGGTTCAGCTTTTAAAATTACTCATATATATATCATATATATACCTCATGTATACTATTATTAACAACTTAATTGTCTATTAAATCTATATATGCAAAAGTGTTTATTAACTACGCTCTAATTGTGAGTGTGTGTGTGTATGTATGTGTGTGAGTGTGTGTGGGTGTGTCTATAAATAAGTATGATGTTTGTGTCCTTGTCACCTATTAGGAATCAACATATATCCGCTTGTTTGTGTGTGTGTGTGTGTGTGTTAATGTGTTTGTGATTTTATGTAATCGATTGTATTAATTACCATTAAGTTGGCCAAGACTCAGCGCTAAGCGGACAGGGTGTGTAGCGTCTGCACTTAAATTACGTAATGGTCTTTTGATGGTAACTAAATAAATGATTATATGAAAAATAAGAAAAAAAAAAGAGTATCGCATAATAAACAATATAAATAATAATACGGAACAGCTGTGACCACTAATTAGTGTCGAAAATAGTTAACTGAATCATTCGCATGAAGTAATTAGCCAATATATTAAGTCCAAAAAAGGAATGAGTAAATGAATCATAATTTGAATAACAATTCCAACATTATTTATATTTATTGATAAGAAAATCTCCCGAACGCTTGGCGCTGAAAGACTGCGACAACGTGCCGCAGTCTTTTAAAGTCCTACTTTATATATGTGTGTACTTTCCGTAAATATATACTTGTACATATTAAATATGCATATATAAAACTTACACATTACGAGTGGACATAAACCGATTTGCTGTTTATTTTTTCTCTACCTTTTTTTTCGTTATTGTTTGGGTTCATTAGCTAATTCCAAGTGCTGCCAAAACTCTGGCTACGATTAGTACATACATATATATTTATATATATATATATATATTATGTTCAACTTTATATACAAATATCATACATATATATTATCGTTATCCAACAGGCATCTCAGTTGGCCAGTTGCATCAACTACTAGAGCCAACATCAAAGGGATATGGTGAACAGTGGAAGCGTTAACGCCGCCGCAAAGGATAGCAGAAAGATGCGCTGACCGGAGCTGCTCAAGGCGCTGGCCTGGCACAGCAGATCCTCGGGAAAAATCTCCAGTATGGGCAAATGGCGCCCCGATGTGGTATCGTGGCAGGTGTTGGCACGCGCACGCTGTTAAAAGAGGTAAGAAATTCAAGATGGAATTAAGCAAGCGTCTTAGATACATTTTCTTAGTAGATAGGTACAGAGTGCAGAGTATCTGTACGATAGGGAGTTATCAGTAAGATACAAAAGTATCTGAAAGATACTAAAGTGTCTGTGAGATACAATACAATAATCTAATCAGTAGATATTTTTGTATCTTTCATATATATTTCAGATATCTATTTATAGAGTGTAGAGTGTGTAACTATTGATAGATATATAGGATGATTTTTTTTTTAAATATTTCTTTGAGATAATTCTTAAATTATATAGAAACAATAAAAAAAGCTTACACGCATATCGGCAACCGATAGGGGTAGCTTTTGCAAAAATAAACCAAGATTAAAGAGAAAGAATGAGTAGTAGAATAAAAAAATAGTAATTAGCTTGTTTAGACGCACCTGCACCATACGCTTGAGGTCATCCTTTTGTATGACCTTGATCTGCGCCGATTCGCGCAGCCAGCGACGCAGCCAATGCCCGAACCAGACCAGACCGCACTCGCATTCGAGCGGATTGTGCGAGGTTATGAGGCCGCCCATAATGCTGCGCGTGCCCACCGCATCCCAGTAGCTCTTGTTGGGATAGAAGCTGTCGGCGGCCAATGCATTGATGCGATTATGCGAGATATCAATGGATAGGTGGGGCACCTCGCGCAGTGTATAGAATATGCCTGGCGGCAGATCCGAGATGCGCGTATGGGAGATCTTCACCTTCAGCCGCTGATTGCGTGAGAGTCCAGTGAAGACATCGGGTGATATGGTCTGCACATTGCTGCCGTACAGCTCCAGCAGCTGAAGCTTGGTATTGTTGGCCAGCTTGGCCAGCAGTTGACCCCCAATATTGGGCTCCAGGCAGTGTACGCGCAGCTCCTGCAGGCCGGGCAGACGGGCCACCAAATCGCCCAGATTTGCATGCGAGCTGGCATGGAGTTTTCGTAACGAGCGCAGCTTGGAGAAGGCCTGCGGATTGGCCACCTTAATATCCAGCAGATTCAGCTCTGACAGATGGCGCAAACTCAACAGATCGTGCAGAGTGATGCGACGTAGGGGATTGTGCGCCAGGTCCAGAACCCTCACAGAAGGTGGCAAATGCTCCACAGCGCAGCTGGCATTGATGAGCTTATTGTGTGAGATATTGACGTAGCGCAGATGCCGCAGTCCACTCAGCGGCGACAACTCCTGCAGATAATTGCCGCTGACGTCCAGGTAGGAGAGTAGCGGCAGCTTCAGCGTGGGCAGCACATAGAGACCCATGTGATGAAGGATTAGCTTGCGTACGCGCGGCGTGTGCACAAAGACCTCACGCAAATTGGTGGTTACTAACGGATTCTCGGACAGATCCAGATTGGTTAGATTGTTAAGGAAGCTAAAGGTGTTATCCGGCAGTATTGTGATGCGATTGCGAGCCAAACTTATGTCGTAGAGGAACTGTGAGTTGACAAACATGGAAGCGTCCAGATACTCCAGATTGTTGCGCGACATCTGAATGGATCTCAGTGTAAAGCCGATGTCCGTAAATGCCGGCACGGGCCAAACGCTCAGCTGATTGTCGGATATGTCCAGAAACTCCAGGCGCGTGTTCATGAACACCTCGCGCGGCAAAGCGCGCAATCGATTCGAGCAGATGCGCAGAATTCGCAGCTTGCGCAGATTCGAGAATTGCTCCACCTGCAGCTGATCCAGCTGATTGTGGCTGAGATCCAGCTCCTGCAGGCTGTTCAGACCCTGAAAGCTGCGGCGACGCAGCGAGCTGAGATTGTTGTGGGACAGATTCAGAATCTCCAGGAATTCCAAGTCCCCAAACGCGTGACTTTGCAGAGCGCCCAATGCGTTGTGTGCCAAATTGAGGAAGCGCAGCGTATTGGCCAGATTGGTAAAACTATCCGACTTGGCCACATGATTGTGACTGATGTCCAGCTGATATATATACATATAGCTGCTCAGTTCATCATCGAAGCTTGATATGTGATTGTGGCTAAGATTGAGGCGCAGCGGAGTTGTTGCATTCGAGACGTAGTGAAAGGACTTCAAGGATATGGCGCACAGCTGATTATGCATGAGATCCAGTGCAGCCAGATTGGGCAGCACGGTAAAAGCGGCATGGGATATGTTGCTCAATCGATTGTACGATAGATCTATATAGCGTAGGAACTCGAGATTGTGAAAGGCATGTCGGGCAATGCTGCGCAGACGATTCGACTGCAGATTCAGCGTCTGCAGGTCACCCAGATTGTGAAAGGTTTGCGGCTCCAGGCGCTCCAGAGCATTGTAGGAGAGCTCAATTTCCACCAGATGGCTGTGGGCATCCGGCAAGAAGAGTCCGCGCGGCAGTGCTTTCAGCTGATTGAAGCTCAGATTGATGTAGCTCAGTTCGCGCATTTGCGCAAACGACTCATTGGAAATGGTCTTCAGATTGTTATTGTCCAGGCCCAACCAAATCAGCTGTGAGAGCGGCAACAGGGCATCCAGCGGATCCAGAGACTCCAAGCTTCTGGCCGGAAACACAGCAAACGAGAGCTCCAGTATTTTCAGCGTATGCGAAACATTCTCAAAGACCAAAGGATGATGTATGGTTATATCATTAAAGCTCAGGCTAATCTCCTGTATTTGCTCCAGGCCCGCAAACGAGCCCAGATGCAGATGCGTTATCTTATTGTTCCGCAGCAGAATAGTCTGCAGGTTAGCGCCCCAACCGTCCACGGCAAAGATGCCCTCGGGTATATCAGCTATGGAGTTGTAGCCCATATTCAGATACGATAGCTGTGTGTAGTTCTTTAAGCCCAGAACGGGTATCATTGTAAAGTTATTTCCGCTCAGGCTCAAGACTTTCAAATTCTCCGTAAATGTGGGCAAATTGGTTAGCTGATCGATCTGATTGGAGGTGAGATACAAATATCTAAGGCGATGCAGTGTGGATATGGCCACCGGCACAGTGGTCAGATGATTGCGTTCCAAATCCAAGTATTCCAGCGTATCCGTCAGGCCCTCAAATGCAGCCGGATGCACACGGCTGATGGCATTGAAGGCCAGCACAAGATGCACAATGCCCGTGTCCTTAAAGACCTCTGCCGGCAGCTGCCCAACATAGTTCTGTTCCATGTTGAGCGCACGTATGTGCACGTCCGAGTAGTTCTGCTGAAAGTAATCCGATTCCAGGTGCTCAATGCAATTCTGGCCCAGATCTAGCTTCTCCAGATGCATGCGCAGCGTTCGCAACTGCAGCTCCTTCCACTGGACGCTGCGCAGCAGATTGTCCCGCAGACTGACAATACGCAGCTCCGGCAGCTGCTCGAACAGCTGATGCGGAAAGACGCTCAACAAATTGCTGGACAGATCCATGGTCACCAGTGAGCGCGGCAAATAGTTGGCCGCCACATGGGTTATGCGATTGTTGGACAAGTCCAGCCAAAGCAGCTTCTGCAGCTGCTCAAAGGGACGGCCGCCCGACCGATCCGCGCCAGGATTAGCTGCATGCAACGCATTGCTGCCGTCCGGCCGACTCTGCATCGCGGTCAAGCTGCTCGGCTGTGAGCTGTTATCGCCGGGACTGGCAAGCAAATCCTGTGCACCACCTGGCGCCACTTCTGTTATGTCATTCCCGGACAGATGCAGTGAACGCAACGTATCGTGCTGTGCCTCCCAGTTGCCCTCCAAGCTGCTTATGTGATTCCTAGCAACGAAACGAAAGAGAGACATCGTATTGAGCTAATGGGAATGTTATGGATCAGGGATCTAGCTAGCTTCGGGCGTACAACTCTTTCAATCTAACCAAACAAGGTTGTCCGAGATATATCTCAGATGTTCTTCAAGAATCTCTTAAGAAATTAGCTTGCTTATGCATTTTAACAATCCTTAGATACTTTCAGATAAAGCAAGGTTCGATTTTGCCAATATATTATTAGAAAATTTAAGCCATGTCCGTCTGTCTGTCCCTCTGCCCGCTCGTCCTTCCGTCTATCCGCTTGCCCGCTTGTATAACCTATAAGAGCTATGGAAACTGAAATTTCGACACATACATACATATAGTTTATATGGCATAATAGTAGCTGCCTAAACTAGATCAAAATTAGTATTAGATTGCTTTCAGTGGAACTAAATTTCTCTCTCTGTAGATTTCAGTACTCAATGGTGCCTCCCACTTGCCACGCCCAGTCGTGTCAACAGAAATTGGAGTCAATCCACTTACCGTTGCGCCACAAGTCGCGTCAGCGAGTGCAATCTCTGCAGTGCCTCCAGTGGCAGCTGCTGCATCTTGTTGCCCGAGATGTCCAGTGTCATCAGAGAGTACGTCATTGTGCTGTATGGGAAAAAGAGAGAGAGAGAGAGAGAGAAAGGAGAAAAGTGTTGGTTATCTATATGCAAGTTGATGTATTTGTGATATGTTTATAATGCTAAAAGTTTCGCTAGCCACGCCCACTGTCCAAGCGGCAAGCCCCTTCGCTTATTGAGGTGGCGCCTGCCTTTTGACATATTCAACACACAAGTCAGAAAACAAATATTTAAACTTAATTAACGCACCGCACACCCGACGCCGAGTCATGTGACCTGTCCCTTGACCCCTCCCCCCCCCTCCCCCCTCCATCTCTCACGCCAGGACAGCACCACACGGCATCCAGTTACCGCTGCACTCCATTAATAGTTACACATACACGCAGTACAAACAGTAAAGAAAGAGAGCGCGAGAAGAAGAGAGAGGCAGCAAGAGCGTAAAAGAGCGACCTCAATTATGAAAACCACGAGGCTTTGCCAACAGGCATCAGCCTCTGCCCAAAGCTGCGTCGCGTCGCTGCTTTAGTGCTGCGTGTTCTTGTTCTTCCTGCCCTTTCTTGTTCGTGTTATAGTTGTTGTTGTTGTTGTGCTTGTTGTTGTTGTTGTTGTTGCTGACAGGCTCTGCTGCTTATGCGACGAAGAATCAAACGCAAACCAAATTTTTGTGGCTCCTTTGGCGGCGCTCTTGTTCTCTCTCGCTCTAGGCGACTTCTTCACCTCCCCATTTCATCCTTTTTGCCCCGCGGCTCTTCTTGTTGGCGGCGGCTGCTTTTGGTTTGCGTTTTGGTTGCCATTTGCTGTTTGCCGGCAGTTCGCTGCTCTCCTCTTGTTGTTTCTGTTGTTTTACTTGTGGTCGCCCATTTAAGATGAATGAGTGTGTGTGTGTGTGTGTGTGTGGGTGTGTGTGTGTGTGTGTGTGGGTGTGTGTGTGCGTGAGTGCGTTTGTCATCAAAAGGCTCGAGCATGCATGTGTATGCGTGTGCATAAGCCGAGAGCAGTTCGAAAAAAAAGCGCTCCTCCATGCTGCCTCTAAGCCAGCCATGTCATTAAGCTACCCTCGCATCAGATTTTTTTGCTGTTGGCAGACTTTTTATTTAAATACATCTATGTATCATAAACGACCATCTTCAAATGTTGAATTATTTTGAATAAAAACTGTCTTTTTTTTCTTATCTATTTACAGGCACTTTAACTGTGGCAACCCTCGTGCATTGCTTTGTATTTAGTACATTCACATGCATTTACAACTGAACCTCAACATGCAAGAAACACGCAACGTAAGAAGCAGAGAAATCAACACATGCCACACACACACACACACCAATATACCAACACAAGCACGCACCACCACATGCCGTGTGTAAATAATTAATTACCGCATACAGAAAATTGTTCATAGGTCAGTGGAAATTTTTCGGAGAAAAACTCATAGGGATCTGAGCTACAAGCTGACCTAAAGGACATCAAAATGGAAATACAATTACTAAAAAGCAAATTTTTAAAAAGCACATTCTTATGAGAGTTTAGCTATTCCCGAACATTGTTATGTATTCTTGTAAAATTAACTGTAATGCTTAACCAAGTTAGTTAGCTGCACAACCAAGATAAGAGGACATTTATCTGTTAAGAAACTACACAAACAATCCCCCCAATTGACAATTTCGAAATTTTCAAGTCAAGATAACAGAAAATTTGTTATTATAGAAAATATGCAATAGCTCGGCTATATCCATACGGATCATAATGTCCTTCAGATATCCGATTTTCCTGATTTACCCAACTCAGAATTAAGAAAGAAATAGCAACGTCCTTTAGACAGACAAGTTAAAAGGACATTTGTTTGTACAGAAAATAAGCAATAGCTCGGACGTATCCTTGCGAATCCTAACAAGTAGTATGTCTAATTATTCCGTCGGAATACCAGTATCAAATGGCCGAAGGATGTTGAAATCGTCCTTATAGTTTAAGATATATAGCCAATACCTAAAAAGGACATGGAATATAAAATCGGCCATTGCTTGTCCATTCTTAGGACTATCTTGATGTCCTTTGGCCAACCTATGGTCCTCATTGTCAGTTACCAGAATGTGCTATGGATAGGACGAAAGTCCTTCAGACAGCCAAGATATTAGAACAAATATTTTTTTAATTAAGAAAGCCATAACTCGGCCATATCCTTACATATCCTGACAAGTCCTGTGTCAAACCAATCGTATGGCCAAGGACTATAATCTGGCCGAAGGACATTAAAATCGTCCTTGTGGTTTCCGATATATGGCTTCTTTTATAAAAAGGACATTTTATTTTTAGCCGTAACTCAGCCGAATCCTTAAGGATATCGAAAGGATATACATTTTATAACTCGTAGGGAACAGGACTATCGATTGGCATTCAAAGATTTTCATATTTCGACAAAAATTTTCACAAAAATTTTCATAGGGGTTTAGTCGCAAAATTGGCCAAAACCGAAAAAATTCGGGCTAACTTTTCCATTTGATGGCCTATCATGATGTCCTTTGGCCAGCAAATAGTCCTCGCCCTCCCATTCAAGAATATACAACCCAAAGGACGAAAGTCCTTCAGACAAAAAAGTTTTAAGGACAAATTTCTCAAAAGAAAATAGTCTCTAGCTCGGTCGTATCCTTGCATATCCTGGCGAGCTATGTGTCAAAAAAATTGTATTGACTAGGGCCACCATCTGGCCAAAGGATATCGAGATCGTCCTTGTAGTTTCAGAGATATCCCAATTTTACAGTAATTTTGTGTTTTCAGCCAATTTTCCTTGCGCCCGGGACTGAAATTTTACCAAGTCCATGATTCTTAGATAACCCCATAATTTTTTAATGCAGTTCGATGCAGGTGGATTCAACGATCCTAACGTGCCATGTCCTTTGAAAATCTGCAAGGATATGCCCGAGTTATGGCTATTTTTCTGCTCAAAATACTATTATATATTTTCATGACTTGCTCTATTTAAAAGTGTTTTTTTCTTTTCAGATTAACAAATTAAGGACTGCAATCTTTTCTAAGGACCTCCGCGAGCCTATTAGGACACTTTTTTCCAGGATAGGAGTTAAATTCATCCAGATATAGCAATTTTAAGTTAAAATAATAGAAAATATATAGTAAAATTACATAAAATCAAATATATTTGTTAATTTAAGCAGAAATAAATAAATATTTGTAAAAAATAAACAAACTTACGTTTTTTTACTTCCCAGGGCTATATGGTTTAAATTTAAATTAAAAAAATCAACGGTCGTTAAAAATCTGTTGCATACCCGAAAGGGCGTCCGTTGGCGAACGCTGGCTGACCAGATTTTTTCTAAAATTCGGCTGAAATACCAGGCAAACAGAAATGCCCAGAAGGTCGACAAAAGATTTCAGCGACCGAAAAATTTCATTGCATACCCGAAAGGGGCGCCGTCGTCGGCGGCGGGGTCTCGAATTTTTACCAAAATTCGGCTGAAATACCAGGCGAACAGAAATGCTCAGAAGGTCGACGAATCTCCGAATGAAAAATTTCGTTGCATACCCAAAAGGGCAAAAATGTAACTCATTTAGAATGAGTGCTGTTAGGCCACCGATAATGTTAAATGAGTAATGTTAAGTTATAGTTTATGTTAAATGAGTGCTGTAAATAGAACTTTTAATTAGCAGACGCAGCTACTGCTAATGTAAAAGGGGTGCTGTAAACGGGGTGTTTGGTAGCAGCTGCTGCTGCAGCTCATGTACAGGGTTGCTGAAACAAAATGCATGCATGTTTTTGGACCATTCCCAAGCGAATTTCGCAGGGATCTGGTCCTTTAGGTTCGCCAGGACTAAATCGATGGTATGATCTAACCAACGGTGTATAAGTCAACTAGGAACCAGTGAATGGGCGACTGAAAAAGCATAGACAGTTTTCGATAGCTTCCGCATTTAGAAAGTAATCGAGTTTTTTGGTTAACTAGGACTATATCCACGGTATGGTATGACCATGGATATGTAGGTCATCTAGGAACCATCTGTCTTAATCATGAGCACGAAAGATAAAGCTGAAAAAAAAATGAAGAATAAATTATTTTCTTTGCAAAACTTTAAAAGGCTCTAGCTCGGTTAAATGAAGTCCGATTTTGATTTTCTACAGAGTCTAATATAATATGACACAATATTGTTTTGCACATAAATAATAAGAATAATTGTTATTTAAAAAAAAATGATTTAGTTTTAATTATACCGATGACAATTTTGTCGTAGCGCAGACCTGTCTGATCTGTAGATAAAACATGCGCCACATTCTTACTCAGGCAGCAATTAACAGCTCGGCTCTGTGCAGAATCTGCAGCCCGTTAAACATATCAATTCACTCAAGCAATAAAATGAGCGCATACCAAATTGAGCAAGTCTTGCTTGGAGAGATAAGCAGCCAAAATTCGTCTGAGCGCGATGCATAAGCAGATAATAACCAAGCACATATACATATTCACATTTTATGGCATGCACTTGTTTGTGTGTGTATTGGCTTGCGCATTATCTGTTCATGTAAATGTTTGGTTGTCTGTGCGTTATCTAGCTCTGACTCGCGCTCAATCGAATTTGATGCCTGGCACCTTCTCAGCTTTCTGTGCGCCCAACTTTTTGTGCGCTCTGCGCACTCACAGCTGATTTCTGTTTAGTTTTGAGCCCAGTGGTAAATTGCACATTCAAGTAGGGCTTGAATTCTGCACAGCCGCAAGTGCTATATTGCTCGTTGGTTGATATAGATTTTAAATGTTGATAAAGAGCAATATTCTCTAGGTAAGTTTTTATAGTTTGTTTTTTTTTTTTTAAACTTGTATGGGCGATTTTGGCGTACTAAGACCTGCAGACTTAGCAATTAAAAACTTGCGGCTGTGCAAATTCGTGTGCATGTTTAACAGTGCAATTGATTGATGAGCTTAAACTAACAGAGAAATGAGTTGAGCGAGCGCGTCGCCGAGAGACAAATGGGCGCACAGAAAATTGAACAGGCCATCGATCACAAGAGAGAAGTTCTTGCTTGGACAGATAAACAACTAAAATTCGTGTGAGCACAATTTCAGGTAGAGAACGCACAAGCAAAATGAAACATACATACAAATAATTGCATGCATAGCGAATCGGCAGATGTGTATGTTTGTATATATGTATGTCTGCTTGTAGGCTAGACGAATTTTTGTTGTTGCTCAATTTTGCGCACTCGCAACTGAATTCTGTTTTAGTTTAATCCCAGTGGTAAATCGGACATTCTGCACAGCCAGCTTGTATTTGATTTGATGAAGGTTTGATCTAAAAAACATGTGTATACATTTCCAAAATATGGTGAACTATTCAAATTGTTCATGTGATATACGTATGTATGTAAATATTGCCAATTATTTTGTCAGTTAATTGGCGTCTACTATGAACTGTACTATATTGTCAGAATTTCTTTCAATAATGCTGCACATACAGCATGGATCACAATCTTAGACAACCAGCTGGCGACAACTTGCGACTGTGCATAAACTTATGCCTGCTTAATTGTGAAATTTACCACAGGGTCTAAGCTTACAGAGAACTAAGTTGCGAGTGCTCAAGGCAGAGAACACAAAATTGGCGCACATCAATTAGAGCAAGTCATGTCTGAAGCGATAAAAAACAAAAATTCGACTGAACGACAAGCAAAAGTAGATAATGCACAAACACACACATATATATATATATATATACAGATATGCATACATATATTCGGCGCTTCTGCATTATCTATGCATGCATATGTGTAGTTGCTTGTGCATTATCTGTCTTTCTCTCGCGCTCTTTCGAATTTTTATTGATGCGTTAAACAGTTGTTAAATGTTGGGCTATATTTTTAAGGGGGTGCCAATATAGGAAGATATACATACACACATTTTAAGTACCCGGTGGACCACTGAATCGAATGAAATGATAAAAGTCTTGTTACTTTAAATGTGACACTTGCAACGTTTTTTTTTTATAAATTTGGTCATTTTTTTATAATTTACTGTTCTCCTATTAATTTATATATTTTTTACTGTTTGTATTATTCACTGGGCCATTCAGTCGCAATCTTGCTGAATAAGTACTCATCACATTTTCACGCAACCAGCAGCCGACAGCTCGCGACTGTGCTCGTCTTAGGGTAAACTTTAGCACTGAGAACACACTTAAACAGAATTCAGTTGCGAGTGCGCAAAGTTGAGCAACAACAAAAATTCCTCCAAGCGCAAGGCAGCAGAATCCAAGGCACAAGCAGACATACATAAACACATACATACATGCATGTGTGTACTTCTGCGTATGTATGTGCAGTTGATTGTGTATTGTCTACCTTTGACTCGCGCTCGCTCTGCTTCAGTCCATTAGTCAATTGCACAGCCGCAATTTATGGGTGATGCGGTGAATATAAAGGGTTATATTAGAAAAAAAAGAACTATCTCTCGTGTAAAAACTGTGATAAGCAGATGGCAAATCTGCTGCGTAGAGTATTAGATCTGCTTAAATGTGAAATTTTCTGCTGGGCTTAACCTAACAGAAAGTTGAGAGTTGAGAGAGTTGAGAGTGCGCAAAGCGGAGAACAAATGGGCGCACAGAAAATTGAACAGGTCTAGTTCGGAGCAGAGAGCACGAGTCGAAGCAACTACACATCTGCATGCATAGATAATGCAAGGGCAGACACACTCACAAACAAGTATATCCAAAGTAATACAGTCGCCAATTTTAAATATGTATATGTATGTATGCTTATTATCTACCTACATACGCGTGCTCTGCGCACTCGCAACTGTATTCTATTTTAGTTTGACCCCAATGCCAAATTGAACATTTAAGCTGGGCTGACATTCGGCACAGCCGACTTATGCATATTTTATTGAAGATGGACTTTTAAATATATTGAAGTAAAATATGTAAAAATGTTTAAAAAATCTTCACTCTTAATTGCTCTCTGCGGGCAATGCAGTAAAATCTGCTCATTAAAAATGTATTACATTCTTACACAAGCAGCAGGCGACAACTTGCGGTTGTGCAGAGTATAAGATCTGGTTAATTGTGCAATTTATCAGCGGGGTTAAACTTACAGAGAATTTTAGCTGCGAGTGTGCAAAGTAGACGACAAAACTGGGCGCACAGATCTTAGAGCAAGTTACGTCTCGACTGAGCGCCAAGCATAGGCAGATAATGCACAAGCAGACATACATATACATGCACACATACATACATATATTTGGCGACTCTCTCCCCGCATGCACTTGTTTGTGCGTGTGTTCGTTTGCGCATTATCTACCCTTCTCTCGCGCTCTGTTGAATTTGTATTGCTGCTTTTGACTCCAAGCCAGAACTGCTTTTGTGATCCACGGCTTGCTCTAATTGCTGTATGCCCACTTTTTCTGCACTACTTTGACTCCAGTTGTCAATTGCACTGTTAAACAGGCGGACGATTGTGCAGAGGCGCAGTTTTAATTGCTGCCATGTGCTAAATTTGAGTGAGTCGAATTCGTCGGCAATGCAAAGAGGGATTATGTATGGTGCTGATTACATTTAAACAAGGTCGTATTTATACGGGATCAAACGGATGGAATATGCTGGCGCGAGTGAAGTTTATATCTGAAATGGTGACTATTGTTTTTTTTTAATATTCATGATGTTTGTGGTTTTCAATTATTTGCTTTCTTCTATTGCTTATAGCAGCGGGAAAAGAATTTATTCTACTATAATCAAAGCTTACGTCAGGCTCTTTGACATTGGGATAGATTTTAATGGAAGTTTCACAGAGATCGTTGAAAGTGTTAAGCGAAAATATTATTACACAAAAACGACAACTTTATATGCACAAAGCTGAACTATATATGGCTACGATCGGGAGCATGCTCTGTCGTTTGGTCTACATTATTATATTATATCAATTATGTTATAATATATAGGTATTATTATTGCTTTATATTATAGATGTGTTATGTTCTTAATCGAAATTTATATACTTTCATAGCACCAAAGATGAGCGCCAAGACACACAGCACGCCAAGAAGTCCATAGCCCACATACGACAACCAGGCGAGCAGCTGAGATTTATTGTCCGCGCCAATGGAATAGTCCCTTGCAACGCACTTGAACGATGAGGCTGCCCCGCCGCA